ATCGTGAGTCCTCTCTACGTGGTTACCCACAGGAAGAACGATTTTGACTGGAGCCCTGAACAGCAGCAAGCCTTCGCTCAGATCAAGCAGGAAATTGCTCACGCAGTAGCCCTTGGCCCAGTCAGGACGGAAACAGAGATGAAGAACATGCTCTACTCTGCAGCCAGGAGCAATGGTCTGTCCTGGAGCCTCTGGCAGAAGGTGCCTGGTGAGACTCGGGGTCGACCACTGGGATTCTGGAGCCGAAGCTACAGAGGGTCTGAAGCCAACTACACGCCCACAGAGAAGGAAATCTTGGCCGCCTATGAAGGAGTTCAAGCTGCCTCAGAGGTAATCGGCACAGAAGCACAACTCCTCCTGGCACCCCGACTATCGGTGCTGGGTTGGATGTTCAAGGGAAAGGATCCTTCCACGCATCATGCCACTGACACCACATGGAGAAAATGGATTGCTCTCATCACACAGCGTGCCTGTATTGGAAACCCAAATTGCCCTGGGATTCTGGAAATTATAACAAACTGGCTTGAAGGTGAGACGTTGGGATTATCTTCTGAAGAAGAGGAGGAGCAAGTGACTCGTGCTGAGGAAGCCCCACCATATAATGAGGTACCGGAAACTGTAAGACGTTATGCCCTCTTCACTGATGGCTCCTGCCGAATTGTAGGTGCTAACCGTAAGTGGAAAGCTGCAATATGGACCCACACACAACGAGTTGCACAAGCTACTGAGGGACAAGGTGGATCGAGTCAGGTTACAGAGCTTAAAGCCGTCCAGCTGGCTTTGGATATTGCTGAACGAAAGAAGTGGCCAACGCTCTATCTCTACACCAACTCATGGATGGTAGCTTATGCTCTGTGGGGATGGCTGGATCGCTGGAGAAAGGCCAACTGACAACGCAGAGGGAAACTCATCTGAGCCGCTGAGATTTGACAGGACATTGCCACCCGAGTAGAGAAGCTGACCATGAAAGTTTGACACATGGATGTGCACGTACCCAAGAGTCAGGTGAATGAAGAGCATCGCAACAACGAGGAGGTGGACCGCGCTGCCAAGTTGAAAGTATCTCAGGTGGATCTGGACTGGCAGCACAAGGGAGAATTACTCCTAGCTTGTTGGGCCCATGATGCCTCTGTCATCAGGGGAGGGATGCAACCTACCGATGGGCCCGTGACCGAGGGGTGGACCTAACCATGGACAGCATTTCACAGGTCGTCCACAGTTGCGAGACCTGTGCTGCAATCAAACAGGCCAAGTGGGTGAAGCCTCTGTGTTATGGTGGAAAATGGTCAAAATACAGATATGGGGAAGCCTGGCAAGTTGACTACATCACCCTTCCCCCAACCCGCCAAGGCAAGCGCTACGTGTTGACCATGGTGGAAGTAACCACTGGACAGCTGGAGACCTACCCTGTGCCTCATGCTACTACCCTGAACACCATCCTGGGCCTGGAAAAGCAAGTCCTGTGGAGACACGGCACCCCTGAGAGGATCGAGTCAGACAACAGGACTCATTTTAAGAACAGCCTCATCAACACCTGGGCCAGAGAACACGGTATCGAATAGATATATCATATCCCTTATCATGCACCAGCTGCCGGGAAAGTTGAACCCTGTAATGGACTACTTAAAACCACCCTAAAGGCACTTGGTGGGGGGACCTTCAAAAATTGGGAAGTGAACTTAGCAAAGGCCACCTGGATGGTCAATACCTGAGAGTCCATCATTTGAGCTGGTTCTGCCAAGTCTGAACCCTTGCACACAGTGGATGGAGATAGAGTCCCTGTGGTACACCTGAGATGTATTTTAGGAAAGACTGTTTGGATTAATCCCATCTCAGGTAAAGGCAAACCCATCCGTGGGATTGTCTTTGCTCAAGGACGTGGTTACACTTGGTGGGAAATGCAGAAAGATGGGGAAACCCATTGTGTACCACAAGGAGACCTAATCTTAGGTGAGAACTGTATGTAGGGTTTCATTGTATATATATGTGTGGGCGTTTGTGTGTAGAGTTTAAGGAAGGTATTGATTTGGGATGATGTAGATGATAATAGAATAATGGGTGGATTATGTCCTGGGTTGTAGTGTATTCTATTACCATCCTCATGAGCTGTTGAAATCAGGTCAGGCAGTGTTTCCTTACCCGTCCCCACCCCCCTCCAGGCTATCTTTCTGTTAATGGCCCATCAATGCCATGCAGCTTGACTCATTATCCCATTGTGAGATGTTCCACCCAGAGGGAGAAAACCAGCATTCCATCCTGAATATAATCTGAGATTCTGAATACCAGAAACACTCTCTTTTCCAATGGATTTCCAGAGGACAGGAGCTACTTAGACACCACTGGACTTTTCTGAGGAAGAGCAGATCTTCTTTCTATAGGATCACCACTTTGGGGGGACTGCAGCCACCATTCTATCAGACTGCTACCACCACCCTGATTAACAGGGTGTCAGGTTATATCTTGACTCTGTTAGTTTAACCTAGCGTTATCTGCCTTTATAATATTTTTCCTTTTTTTTTTTTTTTTTTAATTTCCCTGTTAAATTATTATTCTGACGGTGTCTCCCACTAGTTTGTTTTGAAACTAGCACACTCAGCAAAGCTTTTACTGAAGAAGGCAGCTTGGAGGTGCTGCACAACGATATATGGTGGGGAAAAAAACAAAATAGATATGCCTGCTTGCTACTGTGAGGGCTCTTATTCTTCTGGTGCAGTCAATTACTACAATAGGCATTAGTAAACATACTAAAGGACTGTAGGCAGGTAACTGCTACCAAAATAGTAGAAAATAGGAACATCAGGAAATACCCTTCTTGCTCTTGAATTGTCACCAACCATTCTCCTTTTGATAGCCAACCACAAATGACAGTGAAGAAGAGTTGACAGTTATTTTGCCTGCACTCTACCTGCCAAACATTATCAATCAAACTGGCAACCAAGGCAATAGATACCAGACACATACCAGATAATTCTGTCTTAATTAATAGAGGTGAAAATTGTCACAGAATATGCTCTCTGCTTCTTTATACTGATGTCATCATATACCAGGATTAGGGTGGCAGTAAACATTCTATGGTAGTGTGGTGCAGCAGAAGAACTGAAAATAAAAATACTCTTGGTCTTTCAGAGTACTCATCATCTGTGGAAGGTACACTGAAGATCAAGATAAGACTTTCAGCAACTATGTGCAATTAGCTCAGCAATGTCTGACATACACATGAAGCAATGGCAAACCATAGTTTATTTTTTGTACATGAAAAACTATGGAAATTATTGAAAGTTGCCTTAGTCACTTGTCCAACCCCTAGCAGAGGAAAGCAAGCGAGGACCCTTTCTTGTTGACAGAAAACAGAAGAGTTGTACAGCAGAGTCTGTTTCTTCTTTCAGTGAAAAAAAAAGAAGCAAATGAATGGTTCTTAGGCCTGGACATATACTCTTTAGTGCTGCAATCCTGTTAAAGTTGTAATAAACTATTGTAACGAATTTGCTAAGTTAAGCAAGGCAGGTGCTGTAATAAACTACTGTAACTAATTTGCTAGGTTGGGCAAGGAGGGTAGGATACACTTGAATGATCTGTAAATGTTAAACAATTAACTGTAATAATTGCAATAATGTAACCCTGTCTAGGAAACCCCACCTAGCATTCAGCTGGGACAATGTAACCGTGTCTCAGAAACCCCACCTAGAGCTGACATGTAACTGCTGTTTGAAGTAAAGCCTGCCAAAAAGCATGAGATTATGAGGTTTTAAAAGATCCAATAGGAGAAAAGCGTGCCAGGAGACCAAGGCTTCAAGACTTTCAAAAGATCCAGTAGGAGGAGGACATGCACCCCAGCAACCCAAATGACCCAATGGAAAACAGCAGGACAACTATATGGCGGGAGGAGATTGGTTAAAGACGATGGCACAAGAGCATAAAAACCGCTGCTTTTTGGAACTCGGGGTGCATGTGGCAGCGTTGCAGCTCTGCTTCCCACCCTAAATCGACTGAACCCAAATAAAAATATATATTTTTATAAAAATTGGTTTTGTCTGATTATAACAAAGTAATGGTTAAGAATCACCACAAATCCTGGAATATTAACATTCATGCACTGTGAAAAAGATACTATTTCACAAGATTGCAGTTATTATCTTGGTCTGCAAAAACACAGTAGCTCCTTCAGCACCTGAGCTCTTGACAACCTTCTGGAACCCAAACTACACAGTGTATATGTCCCATCAACACCAAGGGTGTAATTCTTTTCATTACTGGTTAGATCAATGCCAGTATTAATGAGTTTTTGTTGGGTAATAAATGGTGGCAATGTTAACCTAATAAGTCTGAACTTACTACCTAGTTCAGACACAAACTAGGTAACAAGTTAGTCTTGCTGCTTTGTCTAAATTAATTAAGCTTCTATCAAGGTTTCTCCAAAGGCTGAATGACACAAAGTATCCCTATAAAATTCAGATATGCTCTTACAAGATTTTGCCTGAGAAGATCTAGCTGAAGGAACTTCAGATCCCTATTCATATCTTGGGGTTGACTCTGCATTTATGCCCTACTTCCCCTCATTTAGGCTCAAAAGATCAGGCATCTCTTTCACAGAGACGGTTAGTTACACAAACTATTGATAAAGATATTCCAGTATTTTGCACATATGCAGTATCAGCAAACACAGAAAACTCAAATGTGAATCTTAAGGGCTGTTGAGACTGATGTAGCTAATAACAAAACTGCAAAACAATGATTTAACAGGGATCCCTCCCACAGCCATTCAACTGTCTCTACACTAGCATCCTACACTGCACATTCAACAGTTCAACAGTTGTTTTCTCTGTGAAGTTACTTAGTTTAAGCCTTTGAGGGAACGACAGTTTTTATTATAAAGTCATACAGTTTATAGCTTATCTGCTCAAGTCACTCCCCTGGATAATGCAACAAAACCACAATGCAAAGCACTTAAATAGATTACCTAGGCAGCAGCTCTACTAAAATTCCTCTACAAAAGCAGGTACCTTTGGCATATTTGACAGAGTTGAAAGTTTCTCATCTCTTTTGATCTTGATTAAAAAAGTAGCTTTAAATGCTGGTTCATCAAAGCATGGAAAAGCAGACCTTGCTGCAAGAGGTTCAAACTGAGTTGCTGCAAACCACCTAATGGGAAGAGCAGAGAAGAGCAAATTAAGAATTGTGAAAAGGATGTCAGTTTAATTATGATAGAACAGACATTGCCTCCCAAAACTTTGTAACAGCTTGTTACGGGAGTAGTTTTCTGAATAGTAAATGACAGGGCTTGTTTAGTCAGAATAAATAACTTCTCAGAAGTCTATGTTCCTTCTCTAGTGTTTTGATACCAACTATGTACTGTGCTCCTGCAAGACAATCCTGGGAGCGCAACAAGAAGTTTGCAAATTGAAGTTGTTTATTTCATGGGGCTAAACAGTGAAGACAACTGTGGCTCATATTGCTTTGTGTTCATTGGTGGCCGTCGTGGTGGTGTTCTTTTAAACCTACTGACAAGCTACCCACAAGTTTGGGGGCTTTTCTTTACTTCTGCACCATGACTCCAACATTTTTGAACCTACAGCTTTTCTGAGGAGACACACTGCTGACAATTCATAAGATTAATCTCCATGCCTACTTTCAACTTCTAATGCTTCTCCTCCCCTTCACCAAAAATCTAGCAGTTGGTGCAGTTAAGTTTCTTTTCTTTTTTTCATTCACCCCAGGATTTTACAGAAAAAAATAATAATCATTCTGCGTAAAAGTATGAGTAAGGTCCAACTTTTTTTTTTTTTTTTTTTCTGGCAACAGTGTATTATTTTGCCATTTGATAATTTTAATGTCTTTGTGGCAATAAAAAGTCTTCAAAAGAAAATTAAACTAATCTAGAAGAAAAGACATTTTCTTGCAAAAGCAGCTTGATAGCTTGAGTTTTATACAGAAAATGCAACAACAGAGGCTGTTAAAGAAGCCTGCATTTGTAAAACCACTGATATTAAGTATACAGAGACAAAGCCCCTGGAAATAGAAGAGGCAAGCAAGGCAGTGGAAATTATGGTATCAGTAAAGAGTTATCTGAAAAGGATTTGCTGGAAAGCACACAAGTTAAAGCATGTGCTATAGCTTATTCCTGAACAAAAGCAGGTAGCACTAGACTAAAGGGAGACAATAACTCAGGAACTTACTGACAGATCACTTTTTTCCTCTGTGAACACTTACACATTCTCTTTCTAGTACAGCAAATACAAAAAGAAAACAAAACTTCAGCTACATCAGAATAGGGAAAAAAATGGAAATTCAAAAAGAGGTTAATTATTCAAGTCATTCTTACTCCCACTTCACGGTAATGCATGTCCTTGTGATAAACTACTTAACTATTTTATTTCACTTTGTGGTTATGTTCTTCTGATGCAATCTATACCTTTTGTGATTCTTTATTGTCCAACACATTTCACAACACAGAGACAACTTGTGGCATTTTTGTTATAATAATGGAATTGTGAAGCCTATCAGCAGTTCCACAAGTTTCACAACAGATTCCCTCTAATGATAATTGTTTTAAGTAACTGAAAACAAATGCAATCTCAGCATGATTTTCTTTCCAGAGAATAACTCTCAGTGTGTAAAAGGTTGGGCTGGTGGTACTAATGTAAGTTCCCCTGTCAGGAAACAAAATCTACTTACTAATATTTTGGGAATTTCCATACAAACTCCCTGTTGTTGCAAAGATTTGTAACACTGATGGGATTGATTTTTCTTGCTTTTTCCTTTACATCCCATTTAACTTTTCTTTTTTTCTAAGCTTTAGATCTCAGCACTTCCTAGCACAAGCTGGTAAGTGTTTCATGTCTTTACTCCATTTAGCAGTTGTTTTGTGGGCCCTTCAAAACTACTCTCCTGTCAGCTGGTCCTGGACTGACCCATGCTGCTTTTTCCATCTTTCATTTATTGCACTGCTCTGTTTCTAGAAAACCTGCATGGACAATTATGTGCCAACAAAGGCATGAATGCTCTAAAGTACATGACCAGTGTAAGGCTCATTTGAAGTGGGGTGTAATTTCATTAACCTTCTTGGTAAAAAGCACTGATTTACCATTTTAAAAAATAGTGTGATGCTTCCCTTTTTCCAGCCACTAAAGAACTTTGTCTGAATACCAAGACTTTCCAACTGTGATTGAGAGCAACTTGGTAACTACATCGGCCAGTTCCCTTCAGGCTGTGAGATGGATGTCATTGAGTCCCATGGACTTGTGTATGTTCAGGTTCCTTAGATGATCTTGAATCTGATCTTCTCTTATGATAGTAGGATTTAGTTTCCACAGTCCCTGCCTTGAGACTCTGGGACTGGAGAGATGTGGGAAGAATTTTCAAAGACAGAAACTAAAAATTAAACAAACAAAAAGCCACACTACAGCTACCTATAATCATTATACCACATTACATTTAACTGATGGAGAGGCTGCCCTGACTTCATGAACTCATCCACAAAAGACATTTTTCAAGTAGATTAATCAGGAGATTAAAGATCAATTTTTCTCAGTAGGAATCAGTTGTACAAAATATCCAATAGAAAAATCAACCCTTGTTATTTCTATCATCAAAGCACAATCTAGAAGTGACAGAAGAGAGAAGCTGTATTTATGGGCATACCTTTGCTCAGAATTCTCATCCTTGTAAGAAATTTTGTAAAAGCCATAATAGGTATCTGATAAATTAGATGAATATTCTATGTTGACAGTATAATTCTGTCCTACAAGGAGAGCTTCAGGAGCCATGATTGCAATCTGGTCATGCAACGGATATTCCAGGAATTCAGCTGGTTTTGTTTGTTGCCCTCCTGCTGAAGTAATTGTTGCCTTCATGATATTAAGTCCTGAGCTGTGAAGTACAATTTTCCAAGTTACCTGGATTACATTAACTACTATGTTTACAGAGCCTGCAAATTTCAGAGTAGTTAGGTTTGGCTGCAAAACAAGATCATAATGCAATGGTACAACATCAGGAGGAAGCCTAATTTTTGACCATGGAAACAGTTTTCCATTGGTTGCCAAAGGGTATATTAGTTCCATTGTATAATTTTTTTTATAGCAGCCTTCTTTGGTAAAGATACATTTGGGAAGAAGATAAATCGCCATTATTAATGAAACTGCAATCACAAGAATGACTGTGCAAACCACCATGGTCCTTGTAGAGGGCACCAAACACGATTCATTTGGATTTTGTCTATAGACAGACATGTTATTCCGGAGACCCGAGCTTCTGTTCATGAAGGACATCCCCAGCAATTTTGCTGATGACTCATAGTCCTCTTCGTCATCATCCATTTCATTCTCTCCGAGGCCACGAACCAAAAGCCGGGAGCTTCTTGGTTCATATTCCACTTCATCAGGGTCCAGAGGATGTAAACAAGGCTCTTTTGCCAAGTCAACCACGTCAGGCTCTTCTTCAAACATGCTGTTTTCAATCATATTCCTGGGTAACTGAATTCGATCTGAAAAAGAAAAGACCATCTGTTATATGATAAACAAAATGCATGATTATAATACCTCAAAAATAGTTTACTAAATTACAATGGGAAACACTTTTACAGCACATATAATTAAAATCTTTTCAAATTTCTCCCCCAGGTTTGTTTCTAGAAAATATTTCTGTGCTTTTCTGCCTACTGTAATTTTTCATTCAGTATCTTCAAAATTATGTTTCCATTGAGCATACTCATTCACATGTCTAGCATCATAACTGGGGATCAGCTATTTATCTGCATAGCATTCCCATTTAATTGATGTTAGTGTCTTGGCTACACCTCCTCTAACCCAGTAAATTATATTTGTATTCAACTAAATTGGTTAAGATAGAACATTCTTTATGTCGAAGAGTAAAACACAGGCTGCCAGTGCAGTTCAAGAGGTATTTCTGAATATGGTAGGTACTAAGTTCCTTAAAAGGGGATAAAAATCTGCCAAGGTGCTGGCAGCTACACAAATAAAATATCCATTTGAAATTATATTTCTCACACAAAAAAGACAGGATAAAAATTATAGCTCCAATTGACATCTTGATTTAAGAGTTAGCTCATACAACCCTTGAAACAATCCATGCAGGTAAGAAGTTAAATCAGTGCCAAGCAGACTGGTTTTTTTTCCATAAAATTTGTCCTTAATAGATAGCAGATAACTGAACATAACAGAAGAATTTAAATTCATACCATATTTTAAAAGCGTCAGATACTTTCATATTCTACATGCAGTTGTATTTTAATCAAACTTCTGGTCATGTCTATAACTGTTTATGTAAAAGGTTCTCTTTCAGCTAACCTGCTCAGTGGAAAGTGGAGAAAATTAAAAACACTGTTGGAAAGAAGTATATAGAAGGAATGGGATATGGACACCCAAAAGTAGTTAATAGGAGCAAGGAACTTTTACCATACCATATCATACCATATTTAAACCAAAGCACTATAAACAATATACAAAGGATGTTGGTTGATTTTTGTTAGGACACCACAGAGTTATCTAGAGAACAAAACAACTCAAAGGAAAAAGCCATCTATACAGAGATTTATGTCCCAAAAAGCCCAAGAAATCGCATTACCAACTTTTTAGGGCCTTGAAATTACAGTTAATTTGAATTAGTCCCCTGTCACAGCTTCTATCCAAGGTACTAGACAAAACTTTTGTCCAACTGCAAGGCTTCAAAATTTAAACTAACCCTTTTCAGATATGAAGGTCTGCTGCTATCTAGACAATAATCACATCATGCCTCTATCCTCCACATTCTATATTTTCAGAATAAGAAAGATAAAATTTTTCTTCTGATCTAAACATACTGAAAAACAGGTTGACTTTTATTAATTTCTGACAAGAATGTACATTTTGCCAATCTATATACAGCCTAGAATATCAGCATTCCTATAATACATTACTGATTTTACCTATATTGCAATGCTCCCATCCAATGATCGAGGATAATATTATACAGAAGCAAATTACAGGAATACAACTACATATAGCTGCTTGATAGGACTTAAAATGTTGAAACAGACTAATGGAAGATATTGGGAGGATAAAGATTTATCGGTTTTAGCCTTTTTTTCCTTTTTTTTTTTTTTTTTTTCCTAGACTCAGGTTTCTATATGGTTGAAATTCTCAAAGGTGAAAATAAAACATCTTAAAAGATGGCAAGAATCTTTTCAAAATCAGCTATAAAAAATGCCTCAACACTGACTCTAAGATGTATTGATACATTTAAGACTTTCTGTTTCAAGGCCACAAACTCAGAAAACTACAGTGTCAGTAGTCCTAACACTGAAAAAGACGGAGCAAGAATTCTTATTCTAGCCCACATTCTACTATGCTTTTCTCTTTGTGTGACATCTATGTATTAAACCTCTAATGATACTTGCCTACCATTTATTTCAGAGTTAAACTATTCAGATACGAAAAAAGAAAAATTAAAAATCCTACCCCACAAAAGTCACTAAGAGGAAGGTAAACTCATCAATCCAAAAATTCAATATGAAGATGGATGAAAGCAGGGAGTTTGCTGGAATTTGGATCTACCTGCTCAACCTTCATTCCACTGTAAACATGGTGTTCTAACTAGGAATAGGATCATAGGGTCACATGCTACCGAGGTTGGAAGTGACTTCAGGAAGGTCAAATACTCCAACCTCCTGTAAAAATCAGCTTGTAAAAGTTTCTGTCCTTATGGCATTTCCAAGTACAGTGCTCATGGTCTGGCCTTCAGGCTGTGGTTGCAATTCAGTAGTCCAGCACTATGGCCTCTACATGTGTACTCACATATCTGATTGGAGGCCTCAAAGAAAGACAATAAAGAGTAAAGAAAGAGGATAAAAAGCTAAGTTACATGTGAAAACACATAGACAAACTAGTGGAGGAAAAAAAGTGGAAAGACGAAGTACTGTGCAACAAAAGTTCTTTTTCAATTCATCTACCCAAGAATAGTTTATCAAGAATTCACTAAACTACTTTTACCAGAGATTCTTGCTGATTACTCCCTCAGCTGGTTGCTCTTCAAATCTGCTTGCTGACTTCTATCAAATTTGAAAACAGACTGAAGACCCAATTTCTTAAAGTCCCAATGCAATCCCACCCCAAAACAACCAGCTGCTGCTGGAAGACACCAAATCAATATCAACTATGTAGAAAAGGCAGGTATTAAGACTCACATCTTAACCACTTCAAAAGGTAGCAGCCAATCAGTACACAGCTCCAACCCCAGCCATGGCATGTGCTGCTGCATGGCCAGCAAAAGAGGTAGAAGACAGGGAAGGCACTGCAGAGGGAAGGAGGAGAAAGATAAAGAGCATAAATCTGGCACAATGTAGGCTTCATCAGCTCTGCTGCTCCTAGAACAGTTTGTTGCTTGAAGAGCTTATTCGCTTCTAAGTTTCTTCTAAAGCCAACTTTCTTAATACTTTCAAAGTTGCATGCAGGCACTAATAACACTTTTAGTCAAAAGGAATTAAATTATACCAAAAATCTCAAACTGAAACTAAGATAGAAAAGCTAAAACAGATGTTAGTTTCAAGGCAATTGACAGTTTTAATACCCAAGAGACATTAATTTATAGGAAAACAACAGTTTAAACTAATTTCTACGGAAGTATTTGAAAAAAAACAGAAGCAAAGTCTTGGTTGTTCTGTAGTGTTGAAAATCTGTCAGATTGGAAATTTACTGAAGATCAAGGGCATCACCAGACTACTATTCTCCAGTGGAAAGCATACAGACAAAATGTCAAAAGGTTACTGTAGTTATGCATTCACAGAAGCCTAGAAGTCAGACTACCTTTTGTAGAGGAACTATGGCAAACATGTTTAAAGCTTTTACACTCAGATAAACTCTGGACTGTTTGCTTCCTGCTAGTTCACTGGTATTTATAACATGATAGAGTGAGTCATCAACCATGTGACCTTTCAGTTTTAACCCATGAGCTGCTACAATATAAGCTAAAAAGCCCATAGAAGGGCGAAAAGGTATTCTTAAACTGAAACAAGCCATAAGGATCAAGCAGCAGCCTGAGGAAAATGATTGCAACCATCACATTTCAGTCATCTTTCACACCAAGTAGGTGTGAAAGGTCAAGAGGCAAAATTCTCATTATGAAACATGCTATAAGATATTCAAAACACTCATTCAGATATTTAAGCACATTAATTCAAATTTCAATTATGATGAAGGAAAAAAAATAGTATGAATGCAAGACTAGGGGACTTTAATCTGTAAAGAAGCTGCATGGTTCTGGGGAATTACTGCTGCCATGCCAGAGGCTGCAGGTACACTAGAGGCATTTGTGGTCACACTAGTCCACAATTAAGAAAGTATTGATCTGAACTGCTAAAATGCACTACAAAAAATTAGCTGTTATCTGGCATGGCAATTTAAGTCTAAATCTTTACTAAACATAAGCTTAGTGTGAGAGTGAACAAGGAGGTGAAAAAAAGTACTGGAGCTGAGACTTGTTGCTCCCTAATTATCACTGATTAAATGAGACTAAAAGTTTAAGCAGCTAAAATCTTAAACACACCCAAGTAGAAGTGATTTTACACAATTCTTCTACAAATTTGTAATATGAAAATCAGGGATTTATCAGTATCTTCCTCAATATGTGATCTATTGACATATTTATAGAAAGCAAAATGAATATTCACAGTTTAGAAACAATCCTAAGAAGAGATGTGAGGTTAAAAACTAAATGTGATAGACCAATCCAGACAGCTAATCCTCCTAATACTGCAAAGCTGAAGGAAAGCAGACTTTTTCTCATAATTGATTGTTTTGAAAAAGTTTCTTTATAGATGCCTCCTGCAGCACAGATGCCCCAAAACCTGTTGCGACATATCTCCCCATTGTAATATTCAGGGAACCTTAATAAGCCTGTTCTGTTGCTTTCTGTAAAGAGAACAGAATGCACAGACATGAAAATCAAATGCAGTTTAAAATAGGATGAGCCAGCAGTACAATAAGTTTGATGTATATACTGCATCCTTTGCTAATGTGAACTGCATACCTAGGTGGTAAAAAGTGGCATTACTTAAGGACACGAAGGTGAGTAATTAATCAGGTCAAGATAAACAGGAGATCCCTTATCTTGTTCCTACAAGACATATATGTTTCACTCCCTACATCCTTTCACAAATTAGTCTTTAAGCTTACAAAGCATCTTTATTACAATAATCAAGTTCATGCAGGAACAATCACGGGCTGCAATAAAACTGTCTAACATTTCCTCCAATTATTTATTTTGTCTGAAGAGCTCTGTTCCCATTAGCAAGGAGACTGTAAAAGCCTCAAGTAACACCATGTAATGAATCTCAGTAGGTGCGACAATGAAATATATCAGGATGTTTTGGTTTTGGAATCTATTTCAAATATTCTGTAGAATACAAAAAGTCATTCTTTCTTTCTCTTTCAGAGTCAGCATCTTCCCATAGTGTTACTGATACCTGTTTATAATGCTAGAAGTATATACTTTCCCCTTGCAAAACAAAATCAGTAATGTCTTTGCTATCAGGATTCATGTCTGGATATTCTGTCTCAGAACTGAAATCTCAGCACTCAAAATTCTTATATGAATCTAAGTGATCTATTCCTCAAGATAATTCCTTTTTATAATATATGCAGGAAATGCTTGAAGGCATTTGTTCTTTTTTCAACTCTCCGTATTCTAATTAAGAGGTTAAAATTTTAAAAATGCACAATTTCAACTCAACAAATCCTATTGGTAATGTCAGACAGACTGTTGTCTAAGACAGAACTTCAGCACATTCCCATTCCCATCTTTAAAAAATGAGTAGTATTTTAACGGAAAGAAATGTGAAAATAATTACAGTAATACCTCGCATTTTGTAGCAACTGAACCTCTACTGCAGAGATAAGCATAGGAAACTTTTTGTTATCCTGGAATAACCTAGAAGGCAAACAACTATTGGGTAGTATGTTGCCATAGACCAGCAGATGTAGCAAAACCCAAGGCCAGACCAAATGGCCTGGTATAAAGTGTGCCTACAAGCTGGAGTGAAAACTGGTTCCCACAGAATGTAAACTATTTCAGTTGCACTTAAGTAATGTGAGGGTGCGGAGTTACTGCTGCCCAAAAATAGACATCTACTAATATATTGATATGTTCTGTACCTGGCCTAACAGCAAAGAACACAAAAAAAACTATGAACAAAGTATCTGTTTTGATACCTGACTTGCTACCAAGTAACTCATTGATATTATGTCAAAGAATAATTCTGTCCAAATATTTCAGGAATAGCTACAGGTGTTTAACAATGGGGTAAATTATTCAGGGCCACAATATTGTTGTACATACCTAACTTGTATGTCCAACTTTTAAAGGATTGGCCTTTTCTTAGTAGAAGCAGCTGCCGACCGAAAAGCAAATGCCATTAAAAAAAACACATGAATTTTATTCCTACTAAAGGCTAGTTGCATTTTCTAAGATGGGGCAAAACGCAACTCTAAGGTGTATTTTTCCTTTTAAAGGTCTATATTATGTTCATGTACCTGTCTAAATGCCAACTCTTCTAAAAGTAGTGGTGAAACACTTGCAAGATTTTGGCACAGTTAGTAAACTCAGGATATTTGATTCCTAATAGATGAAGGAACCACTACCACAATGATAAATTGAGTTTGAGGAAAAGACGTCAGCAGGAACAAATACTGTGCCACACAGTCTAAGGTCAAAAGAGCAAAGGCTCCACTGTTCCTTAAGCATTGGAAAACTGTTTTATACTCTTATAGTTTAGCAAACAGCATAAAGCTATTTGTTCACAGAACTCCAAGAAAATATTTGAAGCACTTACAAGCACTTTCAAGTGGTCAGATGTATTGTCATAAAAAATAGCAAGACTGGTTACAGTACATGGAATTTGATCTTCTCTCCTTTGTTTGGACTTTGGGACTAGAAGGAAAGGGGAAGGGGGGGGGG